TCATTGCCCTGTTGGTTTACCTAACGGAAAAACAGTGGTTGCAACTCAAGAAGGCTCGGTTCGATTAACAGACAAAATTATTCTTCATCATGTTCTTTATGTTCCGTCTTTAAGTTGCAATCTTATTTCTGTATCTCAGTTAAATGATGATATGCAGAGCAGTGGTCTCTTTAACTCTCATATGTGTGCTATACAGGACCAATCGAGGGAGCTGATTGGAACGGGTGTTAGACGGGATGGACTTTACTACTTCAAGGGAACCGAATCAGTGCAACATCTTACAGTAAATGGTGTGACCACTTCAATCAATCTTTGGCATCAACGAATGGGTCATCCATCTGAAAAAGTGGTAAAGCTACTTCCCTCTGTTGGAACTGTGGGAAGTTTTAATAAAGCTTGTGAGGTTTGCTTTCGTGCTAAGCAACCTAGAGAAAAGTTTCCTTTGAGTAATAGCAGAGCTTCTCGAATATTTGAGAAAATACATTTTGATTTGTGGGGTCCTTACAAACATCAATCCTCTTGTGGTGCGCGTTATTTCTTGACTATAATAGATGATTATTCGCGAGCAGTTTGGATTTATTTGATGGTTGATAAACCTGAGGTTCTCAAAATGTTTTTGTCTTTTATCGCTATGATTGATAGACAATTCTCCCAATCAATCAAAGTCATTCAGAGTGACAACGGTACTGAATTCCATTGCTTGCGTGATTTTTTTTCTGCCACTGGAATTATATTTCAAACTTCTTGTGTGGGAACTCCTCAACAAAATGGTAGGGTTGAGCGGAAACATAAACATATTCTCAATGTAGCGAGAGCTTTGCGATTTCAAGCTAGTTTGCCAATTTATTTTTGGGGAGAATGTGTTCTTGCGGCCGCACATCTGATCAATCGGACACCAACACCATTGCTTGATAACAAAAGTTCCTATGAACTTCTCTTTGGTAGTCCTCCATCTTACAACACAATTCGTGTTTTTGGATGTCTATGCTTTGCTCACAATCAAAAAGCAAAAGGCGATAAATTTGCTAGTAAGAGTCGAAAGTGCATCTTTATGGGATATCCGTTTGGGAAAAAGGGTTGGAAGCTGTATGATCTTGAAACCAAAGAATTTTTTGTTTCCCGTGATGTGAAATTTTTTGAGGATGTTTTTCCCTTTCCCCTCGCGGATACGGCTACCATTCCTCATGAAGAATTTGTTCATGAAGATTTTTCTGCAATCATCGATGAGGAGGAACCCAACTCCACAAACGAGCCAAACCCTCAACCTGAGCCAAGATTTGCACCCGAGCCAACCTCTCAACCTGAGCAGACTCCATACCCGAGTTCAGCTCACAGCCTGAACAACACACTAGTAATCTTGTTCCGAATAACCAAGATCAGAATGTTGAGATAGGTCGGGGTATGAGAAATAAAGTTCCTTCAGTGTGGATGCGCGACTATGTTATTAATTCTACTGTTGTTAAAAGTCCATCCTCCGTCACACCGTCTCCACGGTCTCCCTCAGGTACTCCTTATCCTTTAGCACATTACATTAATTGTGACAATTTTTCTCTGCCATACAGAACTTTTATGGCAGCAATTCTTTCTGAAAAAGAACCAAAATCTTTTAAAGAGGCGATGACACATAGCGGCTGGAAAGAATCTATGACAAATAAAATTCGGGCCCTCGAAGACAATCAAACTTGGACTCTTGAACATCTCCCACCTGGGACAAAGGCTCTTGGGAGTCATTGGGTGTATCGAATCAAATATAATTCAAATGGGTCGATTGAAAGACTCAAATCAAGATTAGTGGCTCTTGGTAATCATCAGGAAGAAGGCATCGATTACACTGAAACTTTTGCTCCTGTTGCCAAAATGACTACTGTTCGTGCACTTCTTGCCATTGCAGCCTCTAAAAATTGGGAACTACATCAGATGGATGTGCATAATGCTTTTCTGCACGGTAATCTCGATGAAGAGGTGTATATGAAGCTTCCCCCAGGCTTTGAGGCATCTGATCCTAAAATAGTGTGTCGATTGCGCAAGTCCTTGTATGGATTAAAGCAGGCACCGAGGTGCTGGTTTGCGAAACTTGTTACGACCTTGAAAGGGTATGGTTTCTTACAATCCTATTCCGACTACTCCTTATTCACCTTTACTCGGGGTGGAATTCAGATAAATGTACTTGTTTATGTCGATGATCTCATCATTTCTGGGAATGATTCTGCTGCTCTAAAGACATTTAAGGCTTATCTCAGCGATTGTTTTCATATGAAAGATCTCGGCACTCTAAAGTACTTTCTTGATATTGAGGTTGCTCGTAGCGCTTCTGGACTGTTTTTGTGTCAAAGGAAATATACCCTTGATATTATTTCTGAAGCAGGATTGTTGGGGGCCAAGCCGGTTAATGTTCCTATTGAGCAAAACTACAAACTCGGCCTAGCTAGTGGCCCAATTTTCTCTAATCCGGCAGCTTATCGGCGTCTAGTTGGAAGACTTATCTATTTGGCCGTAACTCGACCGGATCTCGCATACTCTGTTCATGTGTTGTCTCAATTCATGCAAGAACCACATGATGAGCACTGGGAGGCAGCTTTGAGAGTTGTCCGTTATTTGAAAGGTACACCGGGTCAAGGGATTCTCCTACGAGCAGACAGTGATCTAACGCTACAGGGATGGTGTGATTCGGATTGGGCCGCATGTCCTACTACTCGGCGATCGCTTACGGGTTGGTTGGTTTTTCTTGGCCATTCTCCAATCTCGTGGAAAACAAAGAAACAAACTACTGTTTCTCGTTCTTCCGCAGAAGCAGAATACAGATCCATGGTAGCCGTTACTTGTGAACTCAAATGGTTAAAGGGCTTGTTGTTAAGTCTTGGGGTTCATCATCCCAAAACCATAAAGTTATTTTGTGACAGTCAATCGGCTCTTCATATTGCAAAGAATCCAGTCTTTCATGAACGCACAAAACACATTGAAGTGGATTGTCATTTTGTTCGCGATGCAATTAAAGATGGTTTGATCTTCCCTTCCTACATTCCTACCAATTCGCAATTAGCTGATATCTTCACAAAGGCTCTGGGGCAAAGGCAATTTGAATTTCTTCTTCGCAAGTTGGGCATTTCAGATCCGCATGCTCCAACTTGAGGGGGGGTGTTGAGATATTTGATGATATTAATCATCTAATTTAATTTTCATGTGTCTCTTGGGTTTTCCATATGTCTCTTGGGTTTCCCATGTGTCTTTTGGGTTTCCCATGTGTCTCTTGGGTTTTCCATGTGTCTCTTTGTTTTCTTTGTATTCATTCTTCATCATCTTGTTGGCACTATAAATAGAGTGCTTGTATTGAGGTTTAGACAAGAGACAATATATAATCAATTCTCCATTTTCTTCTTATTTGTATTCTACAAAAGTCGTGACCCACGTACTGCATCCTCAATCCGCATGCATTGCCACATTTCCCACATACTTTGTTTAATTAAATTATAATAATATTATTATTATAACATTGTCTCCTTTAAACCAAGTTGGATATATTGGTCATCCCAATTTCCTTCTTCAATTTGAGAAATGTCTCTGTCTTCAGCGTCTTCGTAAAGATATTTGCAACTTGACATTCACTTGAATATTACTCAATGTTGATTTGTTTTTCAACAACCAACTCTCTGATTTTGTGATACTTGATATCAATGTGTTTGCTGCGACCATGAAAGACTGGATTTTTGGACAACGAAATCGCTGACTTGTTGTCACAAAAAATAGTTGTAGGTGCCGCCTTGCTCGTATTGTAGGAACTCCAAAATTCTCCTCAGCCAAACTGCTTGAGTAGCACAGTATGCTGCTCCAATATATTCTGCTTCTGTGGTTGAAAGTGCTACAATCTGCTGCTTCTTTGAAGACCAAGAAAATATAGCTGAACCAAGATAGAAGGCATATCCTGATGGACCTTAATCCATGTGGAGTGTTTATGCATGTTGCTTTTGTTGGTCTCCTGCATTAAATCATTTACCATATTCCCTTATATTGTGATATATATAATTAATATGTAAAGTAAAGAATGTTATTTTATATATGATAGATATTGCTTATTTTGTCCATTATATTCACCCTATAGCATACGTGAATAATAAACAGAATTTAAAGTGCATAATTTAAATTAATTGACTAAATAACTGGTGTTTTACCAGATAAAAAATCTCAGGAATCGATTGGCCTCTGAAAGAAGACAGGGATCCGCAGGCTGTCAGGAATTCTTGGAGGCTGGGGTTGGGCTCGAGATTCTTTTGAGACAGGAAGAGGTGTTCTGGCTTCAACGATCTAAACAACTTTGGCTTAAGCTCAGGGATTCCAACACGAAGTACTTTCACAAGTCTGCTTCGGCACGTAAAAAACGAAATTTCCTGCAACGAGTGAAGGATCAAGATGGGGCTTGGAAGGAGGGGGCGGCTATGCATACTGAAGTGTTAAGGTATTACAATCTCATTTTCTGCTCGGGGTCTAGCGCTACCACGTTATTCCCCCGCATGCGGCATTGTGTCACGAACGAGATGAATATCTCTCTATTACGGCCCTTCACGACTGCGGACGTGAAGGAGGCCTTGTTTTCTATGGCTATGGAAAAGGCCCCTGGTCCACATGGTATGTCTCCGGCCTTTTATCAACACTTTTGGCCCATACTAGGCCATGATTTGTCTATGTTCGTCCTTAGGTGCGTTGCCCATTGTAATTTCCCCCGAGACCTGAATCTGTCTAATATAGTGTTGTTGCCAAAAAAAGAAAGTGCCAGAAAAGGAATCTGACTTACACTCGATCGCTTTATGTAATGTTGTGTACAAAGTCTTGGCCAAGATGTTGGCCAATAGACTCAACGATCTGTTGGGACATGTTATATCGCAATCTCAAAGTGCTTTTGTTCCCAAGAGATTATTAACGGATAACATTATAGTGCCGGGGAAGTGGGGCACTATCTGCGTAGGAAGGTCAGTGGGAATTTGGGGTGGGTAGTGCTGAAGCTAGATATGGCCAAGGTATATGATCGAATGGAGTGGGGTTTTTTGGAGGGGATCATGTTGGCGATGGGTTTTTCTGATCAGTGGGTGAGGTTGATGATGCTATGTGTCTCTATTGTCACTTATGCAATTCTGGTCAACGGGGAGTCAGTGGGGTCTGTTTGCCCCACTTGGGGCATCCGTCAAGGGGATCCGTTATCCCCTTATTTGTTTATTCTGTGTGCTGAAGCACTATCTGTGCTCTTCCAACCGGCGGAGGCTAGTGGTGATATTCACGGGGTGAGGGTGGCACGTGGTGCCCCTGCTGTTACCCATCTATTTTTTGCTGACGACAATTTGTTGTTTTTTAGGGCAAATCAACACGAAGCTTTCAAAATCAAGGAGTGTTTGGATGTTTATTGTGAGGCTTCGGGCCAGTTAGTCAACTTTGAAAAATCCAATGTCGTGTTCAGCACTAATACTGCGATGTGTATGAGAAGAATGGTGTGTGAAACTTTTGGGGTTCAGGAATCAAATGACTTGGGGCGTTACTTGGGGCTACCTTCGGTGTTGGGACTAACAAAATTGCCACCTTTCGGTACATTGAGGACAAGATTCGTGAGAGGATCGGCTCGTGGCAACACAAACTCCTTTCAAGGGCAGGTAAAGAAATACTGCTTAAAAGTATAGCTCAGGCTCTCCCTATTTTCACTATGTCGACTTTCTTACTGCTGGTTCGTGTCTGTGACACAATCGAAAAGTTATTTAATCGTTATTGGTGGGGAGGTGGTGGTACTAACAGCCGGGGGGATACAGTGGCTCAGTTGGAGTCGATTATGTGAACCAAAGGCAATGGGTGGGCTGGGTTTTAAACGTTTACGCGATTTTAATTTGGCGTTGCTGGCAAAATAGGGTTGGCGTATTTTAATCCAACCAGAATCTTTGGTAAGCAGGTTACTTAAAGCCAAATACTTCCCAGCGTGTGATTTTATGGAAGCATCTGTGGGGACGAACCCGAGTTATTTTTGGCGGGGTGTTGTGAGGGGACAGGAAGTCTTGAGACGAGGATTGGCACGGAGAATTCGGAATGGTATGGACACGAAGATTTGGGGTTGGAATTGGCTCTCTAGTTCGTCCGATGCAGGTTTACATACGCCTTGCGTTGATGAGCTCAAGGAGGCTAGAGTAAAAGGCCTAATGAATGAGCAAGGCGAATGGGACGTAGGTGTAGTGCAGGATCTTTTTCAAACGGAGGACGTGCATAGAATTCTATCGACTCCCACAAGCAAAGCTTTCAAGGACTCTTGGCGTTGGATCGGCGATGCGCGAGGCTGCTATACGGTGAAACATAGCTACCGTTTGCTCACCGATCAGCTAGCAGGTACGGGCTCTCAATTTGGCTTTCATTCGTGGAACCATTTGTGGTTACTCCCGGTGCCTCCAAAAGTGAAAAATCTCCTTTGGCGGCGTGCTCGTAATGTTTTTCCAGTCCGCGAAAACTTGAAATCGAAGAGAATCTGGATTGGAGGCGGTTGTCCGTTCTGTGGGTCTCCTTTCGAAACAGTTGAGCATATTTTTGGTGAGTGCAGCTATGCTACAAATCTTTGAGGTGCGGACGACGTGCTGCGTGGGCGAAACTTTCCAACAATGATGGAAGCCATTCTGGGGAAGTCAGACGTAGTGCAAGCCATTAAGTTTGCTGCCATCGTGTGGACATTATGGAACGCACGGAATGCGATTGTATGGCGTCAAGCAACACCATCGTTTGCGGAGCTTATTTTGCAGGTCACAAACCCGCAGCAGGTTTGGCAGGAGACATATGCAGCTCCGAATCCCACTGTGGTTAATAGCAACCTGACTATTCCATGGAATCCACCGCCGACTAATTTTCTCAAATGTAATGTGGATGCGGCCATCTTCCCGGATGGAGCAGGCTTCGGCGCTGTTCTACGTGACTATTCTGGTGGTTTTGTTACTGCGAGTAATGGCTGTACCAGTCATACTCAAGAGCCGCTCCTGGCTGAGGCTCTTGCGGTTTATGAAGCTCTCAAATGGCTGTCTGGTTTGCACCAAAATAATGTTATTATTGAATCTGATATTCTTATTGTTTATCATTTTGCAATGCTTTTAATTCCCATATGGTATATTATTCCTACGTAGGATTGATTGTAAAGCAATGTCGTACGATTGCTAGGGGCATAGGGGACGTTAAAGTCCGTCATGTCAGGAGATCAGCGAATCATGTGACTCATAGGTTGGCTCGGGCAACTGGTTCTTCGTCTGTCTCTATGTTGTGGGATGTCATCCCACCTGATTGTATCGCTGATTTATTATCCCATTAATGAAATCTGTTTGTTTTGTTCAAAAAAAAAAAAAAACTGGTGTTTTACATAACCCATCAATCCAGGAACTAAATCATATCAAAAAATAAAATCAAATCAAATCAGTTGATTCAATTATATTAGGTAAGTTAAAACTATGCGCTATTTTGATGCCAAATTACTCAGTAATCAAACTCAAACTATTTAATCATTGATCATATCAAACTTTGCATGTATAATAAATTCAAATACAACAATTCAAGCCTGCCAACATCTAACTTTATCACATCAATTCTGCATGTATCAATTCAGTGGTTGAGGATATATTTTATATTCTGAGCAATTTCTTGGCTCCATAGATGTATCGATAACTTGCAAGTAATCGCAGTCATAGTACCAATCATGAAATACCTCAGCAAAGGTCTGTAAAAATAACACTAAATTTTGTCACAAAAAAGATCTATATATATAGTAATTAATTAAGTAAATAAAGAAATATCACACTATTTTTTTTTTGACATTAAGAAATATCGCACTATTTATTACCTTGTTCCCTATGATTTTCAGCGTTGAAAAGTAAGTAGGCCTGTGCACGGTTCGGGTTCGGACGGTTCGGGTGTCGGACTAGTCCACCCGATCGAATTTCGGTTTTCTAAATCAATATCCTATCCGACTTTTTTTTGTACTATACTCCATTCGGGTTAAGTTGGTTCGGATATTGGACGGTTCGGATATAACTTCGGGTTTGTTCGGATTTCATATTCAACAATTTAAAAAAAAAAAAAAAAAACTAAGTAAAATTTCATATCATGGATTTCAAACTGTCAAACAGTCAAAGTACTTACTTAGTTAGTTACAACTACTTAGTACTTACAAATGACAAAAATACAAAATGATAAACAAAGTCATTGAATCATCAATCATGATAAACTGATAACAAAAAATAATCATAATGTATTATTTATTCAGCAATTGAGCATTCAGCAAACTGCACCAATCAACATCTTCCTGCGAACAAAAATACAATAATCATAATGTATTGTCTATTCAGCCTTCAGCAGTTCAGCTTTCTTGATCTTCCTGTACAAGTTAAATATAACATATTAAATACTTTGGGGATTGGGGCTGTTGGGCAGAAAAATTTAACTATGGAAGGCTCAGATTGCTATGTTTTCATGTCAAAGTAAGATTGTGGGTAAATTGCTACTTTTAGTATTGGAATGCAATTATGCAAACCAAAACTAATGAGCAACATACCATCCCAAAACCATTTCAGACAATGGTGGAAGCATCATCATAGCCAAATCAGTAAAGACTAAAGAGAAATAACATACTGATTACTGAGCACTTGAGAATAAGGGACTAAGGTAGAGTGACTGTTATTACCAGATGAGAATCATGAGATGACATTCATATAGGCAGTAAGGCTATACTGCTGGGGTCATACACTCATACTTATCATAGGCAGCAACAAATCCAACAATTGAATTGTTAGTTAGTTACCAAGCCATTAATTCCTAGGAAGCAACAAATCCAACAATTGGAATTAAAATCAAAAGTAAGTGTAAGTAAAACATTACAGGAATGGTAGGAAGGGGAAAACCAGCAGCACCAGATCCTGTGGTACCAAATCGACTTACTCCAGTAGCCAAGTCTGCAAAGTGCAAAGTGCAAAGTTAGAATTTTAATTTGAAATGCAAAGTTAAAGATTTAAAAACAGAATGTAACATTTAAAGAAATTACCTTGTTCAAGCTTTTCAACATCATCAATATTTTCCTCAACCTTAACTGGTTGATTTGGTAACCTCATCCAGTCTTGTGCACATACTAAGGCCTCCACAATTTTAGGAGTTAAAGAACTCCTAAATGCATCTAAAACCCTCCCACTAGTACTAAATGTACTTTCTGAGGCAACAGTGGAAATAGGAACTGCTAGGATATCCCTTGCCATTTTGGAGAGAGTAGGAAACCTCTCACTATTTAGCTTCCACCACCTAAGGATATCAAAGTCAGGAGTGTCCTCCACAATTTTTTCACTTAAATAAACCTGAAGTTCTGTTTCTTTATAGCTTCCACTAGCCTCCAATTTTTGCTTTTTTAGTTTGTTCTTTAACATATTTTGAGGTCTACCAATTGTGGCATGAGACTGGACAGGAGGCACATCTGGTTGGCTACCAGAAGATGAATCAGAAGATGATTGTTGCACATTGACAGAGTAGGTTGCTACATAGTCACCAAACAATTCTACCATGGCAGCTTGGACATTCTCTAAACACTTCTTCCCATTCTCTTTACCATACAGTTCATCAAACTGGTATGGCATATATTCCAACTTATCTCTTGGGTCCAAGATATTTGCAAAGAAGATCAAGGAATTCATTTTTTCATGATCTCCCCAATACTTTTCAATTTTACTTTTCATTTGGGATCCCATAACCTAAGAAAACATTGAATTAAATACAAACAGCCATACACAAAATCATAAATAATCAGATTAACCACTGAAAATGATAAAAATATAAAATCATTACCTCTGTAGCACTACTAGCAATAATCATGCTACTCAACATGCAACTCAAATCAGATATCTCACTGAAGAAACTGTTAGAGGTGACATATAGAGAACCAGAAATTCTAATTGTCATCTCATAAAACCCTTTCAACAGAACTACCAAGCATTCAACAGAAGTCCAGTCAAGAAAAGAAGGGACAGAATCACCCAGATCAGCAACAAATGAGGGCTCATTCAATGAATATGCATCAAACACAGCGTTGTATTGTATGGCAGTGCTAAGCATCATGTAGGTGTTGTTCCATCTTGTTGGAACATCTAGTTGTAAAGAACTTTTGGCTTCCACCCCAAGCAGTTCTGCAAGATCTCTGAATTTTTTGAGTCTTGCAGGTGAGTTCCTCATCCATCTAACAGAATCCCTCACCTTCTTAACAGAACTATCTGCAAACCTTAACCCATCCTGGACCACCAAGTTTAAAATGTGGGCTATGCACCTCATGTGAATGTACTTACTCCTAACAGTGGTTGCACCCCATGACAACAATTTGGACTTAAAAAAACTAATAGCTGTATCATTGGAAGAAGCATTATCAACAGTGACAGAAAAAACATCCCTAATCCCCCAGTCAATCAAACAACTCTCTAATGCCTTGGCTATATGCTCACCCTTGTGAGAAGAAATAGGGACAAAGGATATGATTTTCTTATTCAGCTTCCACTGATCATCTATGAAATGGGCTGTAATGCACATATAATTGATCCTCTGCACAGAGGTCCAGGTATCAGTTGTCAAACTGACCCTTTGAGTGTTAAGTCTAAACAGCTTCTTGAGGTTTAATCTTTCATCAAGGTAAATTTGGTAAATGTCCCTTGAAATTGTCCACCTAAAAGGTATACAAAATCTAGGGCAAGCAACCAAAATAAACCTTTTAAAACCTTGCCCCTCCACAAACCTAAATGGAAGCTCATCAATAATTATCATCTCACATAATGCCCTCCTAATGGCTTCCTGATTGAAAACCCAAGTCCCTAACTCCCCAACAACCCCTTCAGAACCCCCACCCCCTTGAGTATCAAATGTTGTCATAGCAGTGAAAGTAAGCAGTGACTGCCTAGTCTCCTTAGAATGTGGATTTTTTAGATAAGCCAACATATGATTTCTTAAAGAGGTAGTACCATGCTTTTTACTCTCACAGTGATAGACTTTAGCACAGTATATACATTTCCCCTTTACTACTTTGTTTTCAGAATCATATATCTTTTCAAAATGTTCCCAGACCTTAGATCTAGACTCCACATTCTTCCTCTTTTGTGCAGGAACAGCAGGATTAACCTCAGGCTGCAGAGGAGCATTTGTCTCAGTGCCTTGGGTTACTCCTCCAGGCCCCTCCTCAGTTGAGGGTGGAAGTCCAGATTGAGTCATTTGAGTGGCACTTTCCATCTACAAAGATGGGTACCAGTTTTCACTTTTCAGTTTGTGTGAGTGTGACATAACACATTAACACTAAAACTACCACATAAATTACATAATAAACAATTAAACATACAAAGATATCCAGAATCAGACACATGGACATAGTAGTTTGTGTCATCATTTTTCCAGATTTAACAATTAGCAATTAAGGGTCATACATCGATAAACTGATAGACATAATAACATATACAATTATACAAACAAATCCAGATTCAGGAACTCAGTCCAGATCATCATTATCTGGATTTGAGTTAAGGGCTTCCACGAATAAATGGAAATTCCCACACTGAGATTTCACATT